AAGGTATGCATTTCATAGTTTCTAGTTCTTCTTCCTGAATATTGAACATTCATATTTAGTTATTTACTGATTATCTGACAAGTATCTATGGACCACACCAGGAAATCTTACATCATCAACAACGAACAAAATTCAACTCTGGTGAGTTTCATCTTAGATGAAAAAAAAAAAAAAAAAAAAAAAAAAAAACTCAGAAAACTAGAATCATTGCAGAATACACATACTGATTAGTCTACATTCTGAATGCAGATTGTGGCGTTGTTTATTATATTGGCGATCGTTTACGCTTATCTCTCTGCTAGCCCAAGAATTTAATGTAAGTGTCGTCGAGTTGATCAATCGATAACTGATTTCATAGTGTTAATTTCTTACACCAATTTTCTTCTTGGTTGTGCAGGGTTTGCATTTCTTATATGAATTCAACATAAATGGCTGGTTACAAAAGTACATGCCTCGTTGACTACATTAGTTTCTTGTATTTGTATGCAATAACGGAACTGCTGCTGCTGCCGTTGTGTACTCAGTATGAAGTTGCCCTAAATTATTGCCGTTGCCTTCGACGCCGTTTAGCATAGTTACGGTTGCCAAACAATCGAGCCTCTCTTTTTTTTTCTCTGGAGTTCATATGTGATTGTTCTACTTAAGAAAAGAGTACCTTGTTTATATGAAAGTAATGTAGTATTTTATGCGTGCATACAATAATGGCAATGCTTGTATGGTATTCTGTCTGATTTGTCCGAAATTAAATTCATAGATATATACCTAGTAATTTCTTGCACGACTTGTTAGCTTGACATGAAACGACACAAAATAACTATGATGTAGAAGCAACCTTTATATCTCATGGAGGCTTTTAAGGCTCACACCACATCGAACTTTAACCATCTAAATCATCTATTTTGTAAGTTGCACCTTGTAGATCAGCTTTGCAAAATATTAACCAAATCGGAAATATTTGAGGTATCTAATTGAGTATAAAGAAATCGACGAGCATTTATTATAAGAAAACATTGAATTTCATCGTGATAATTAAATAGATAAATAGTTTCAGATTGAATTGAATTTTTGCAAGGATGATCTATGAATCGAGATATACAAAATAGACGGTTTAGATCGTTAAAATACGGTGTGAAGTGAATCCCACAACTAATCCCCATGTTTTGAATAAAATGGAAATTCCTTCCCTAAAGGGCATGTATATCTAATTACCTATTAATATGTATCCAACCTTTATCCATCTATATAGATATATATCTCATTACCTGTTAATATGTATGCAACATTCAATTTCACAATATAAACTGAAACAAAAAAGAGATAGAGCAGTAAATTCAATAGTGGGTAAAAAGGATTATAAACACAACTGACCGCATGTATTTTATGTGGGTGTAATTGGCACAAAACGAACAAGTGAGTCGGATGCTTTTTAACAACATCCACCCACACCCTCATTGCAAGTGGTCCAATTGGCACAAAACGAACAAGAGCGTTCGGATCACTTACGACCACCAACCTTCACCATTCACTTCTCCAGAACCCATCCAATGAAGCAATATGCACTTTTTATTTGAATTTGAGGACTATACGGAAAAATAAGAAAGCATTAATCTAAGTTACTACCAAATTAATTCACATAAGCAAGACAATAAGTATAGCTCAAATTAGTTAAAAAAGAAACATGAAGGAGCAATGTAAAAATTGAAGCTTGCCACTAAAGTACGTGTGTGTCTCAAGAACTGTAACCAACCAGTTAGGCCATCTCCAACCAAATGGTGTAAAGGGCCAGAGGGTCGAAAATAGCCAGAAAACCATCTCCAACCGAGGGCTAAGCCAGAGGGCTCATGGAATTTGAGAGGGTTCCACGGAATTTGAAAGGGCCAAAGGGCTGGAGGGCTGGCTGCATACAACCAGCCAGCCAGCCTGGGGCTGGCAAAAAAAAACATTAATCCTATCGGTTATAACCGACATGAATGCTTAAGCTAAAATTCAAATGCAACGGCTAGCTAACGTCAGCTAGCTGTTGCATTTAAATTTTTTTTATGCAGTTTTATTATTATTTTTTATTGTACAAAATTTTTCCTATAAATTCTATTTTTCTTTTTTTTTTTTAAATTCTATTTTTTTCCTATAACTTTTATTTTACAAAATTTGTTTCATATTTTTTTTAAATTCCATTTTTTCCTATAACTTCTATTTCACAAAATTTGTTTCATTTTATTTTAATTTTTTTTTTCCTATAACTTCTATTTCACAAAATTTGTTTCATATTTTTTTTAAATTATATTTTTTTCCTATAACTTCCTAAGCCATTATACCACATTAAATTAAATTAAGTAACATGAAACAACATTAAACAATATGAAACAACATTAAATAACATTAACCAACATACAAATTATACAACATAAAAAAAAACATTTAACAACATGAAACTTAAGCAACATTTTTAAAAATATTTAACAATATAGAACTTAAACGCCTACTTCATGCTTCTTTTGGCCCAAAGATGTGCAACACGATCCTATTGTAGGTACTTGTTTGTGGCATGAGAACGTATCATTCTATAGTGCCTCATGTACTCATTTATAGAGATACTACAAGTTCTTGGATTGAAAGGCAAATTAGGCCCATCATATATTTTTGCACGAGCGCTTTTTAACCTATTTGGATCTTCTTGGTCGTCATCGGACTCTCCATCAATATACCTATCTCGCTCATCCTCCACTATCATATTGTGTAATATGATGCAAGACATCATGATGGAGTCCAAATTTTCTCGACTCCACCCTTTTGCCGATTCGTTGATGATCTTCCACTGTGCTTGTAGAATACCGAAAGCTTTCTTAACATCTTTGCGGTATGCCTCTTGGTGTATGGTAAACAACTTTTCTGCGTCATTCCTAGGGTTTGGAATTGCTTGGACAAGTATCGCCTATCTTGGGTAGATGCCATCTGCCAAGTAATACCCCATATTGCATTGACGGTTGTTGATGTAGTAGTCAAGTTGAGGTGCTTTACCTTCCGTCGTGTTGTTGAAGAGGGGTGAACGCCCAAGAACTGTAATGTCATTTTGGGATCTAGGGACTCCAAAGAAAGCATGCTAGATCCACATGTCATATGAGGCAACCGCCTCTAACACAACAATTAGCTTTCTCGACCTTCCGCTAAAGCCTCATTTCCATCCGGTAAGACAGTTCTTCCAATCCCAATGCATGCAATCTAATGACCCTATCATGCTTGGAAACCCACGGTCTTCAGCTTTGCGAAGGAGCCGATTCAAATCTTCTTGATTTGGCTCACGGAGGTGCTCGTCTTTAAAAACCTGAACAATTGTGTCACAGAATTGTTCAAGAGTATCAAGGCATGTAGACTCAGACATACCATGGGTTTCATCCATCAAATCAGCTGGGGAGTCATATGCTTTCATTCAGAGTGTAACAATAACCTTCTGATGAGGTGAGAAACCAGGGAGGCCTGCTCTGTCCCGTTTCTGTGGAAAGTATGGATTGACCTGCTGAACATTATGAAGTAAACGCTCGAAGACATGACGCCTCATCCGGAAAGCGATGTCTGAAATCCTATTCTGTGTACACCGAGTTGGGCTTGAAGTAGTTGTTCATCAGATTGGCATGCGCCATCGCTTTGTTTCGTGGTTTGTAAGAGCGACTAGCAACAGAGCCACCTCATTGAGGTTGTTCCTTAGTTGGCTAACACACCATGGCTGCTGCTTTGTTTTGTTTGTTGCGCCTTACTTGAACTTCTTCATTAGACTCCTCATCTTCTCATCTCATTTGCGCCCATTTTGCTTCCAATTTGGAATTGGATGAGGACCCTAGTTGGAATCCGAAGAGGATCCAAAGTTGGAATTCATTGCAAACTTGAATTGAAAGAGATTGAATTGAAATAGATTGAATTCAAAATTGTGTGAATTATAACTCAATATCCACCTTATTTATAGCAAAAAAAAAATTCAAATCCAACGACTAGCTGATGTCAGCATGATGTCATCTACCAACGGCTAGCTAATGTCACTTAGCCGTTGGATTTGAATTTAAGTTTTAGTTTTTAAATAATAAATTATGTTTGGCCCTATGACCCTTGGTTGGAGACGGTTTTTTGTGATAGGGCTAACACAAGCCCTATGGCCCTCAGTTGGAGACGGAGGCAAATATGGCCATGTACTGTTCATTAAAATATTAATATCTTGGAGGGCCAGAGGGCTGAAACGAGCCCTCTGGCCAGCCCTCGGTTGGAGATGGCCTTACAAGACGCCTAAAAAAGTTTCTACTTTTGAGGATATAAAGGTCTTTATGTAGAACGTAATGGCTAAATGAATATTTACTGCAAATGTGAGGCATTCATGCACCCTCAGGCATTAATGGCTTCCAAATTTCCAATCCACCCACTATTGAATTCTTTATCAAACATCTATGTCCCATTAACGTAGGGTGGGTTTAGTTCCTTTCGGTTTGTTATTTTACCGAAATTGAAAACCAAACGAAAGTTACTATTCAGTTCAATTCGGTTTTTCTTTCGCTTTGTTTCGGTTCAGTTTTGACGGTTTGGTTCGATTTCAATTCTGTTTGTACATACTAGCATATGGGCAAAGTGTGTGAGAAAATTTTTTATTTTTGTTTTTGAAATAGAAGGAGAGAGGAAGAGAGATAGAGAATGTGAGAGTGGATTTTTTTTTTTTTAATTTTTTTAATTTTTAATTAGAGATATGTTAAGATTACATGTATGTAAGTTTTGAAAAAAAAAGTAAAATTTGGCTGTGTGAAATTACATTTATGCCTTACATTTCTTATTCATGTTCTATTTTAATTAGAGGGTTAAACTGATAATTTTATAAGATTTTGGTTAACAATAAGTATTTTATTAATTAATAGAGTTTTATAAAGATTTAATTAATAATGAGTGTTTTATTAATTAGTAGTTGTGTTAAGGTATTGGAGAAAATTAAAAATATTTAAAATTCATTTTGAGGTGGTTCTCATTCACCAGATGAAATCCCAAGATCAAATGCATTAATTATTCAAAAGAGCCCAACAAAACTCCAAGCAGCCCAATTCTGAAAACCCCAAAACCCTCCCGACTTAAATCCTCTGTTTTTTTTTTTTGACTCTGCGGCGTTGCCGCCATGGCCGACGCTCTCTCACCGGAACCCGAACTCTACTCACCACAACCGCACCAAAACACTCCAAACAGTCCAAGCAAACTGAACAGCCGCAAAAGAAAGTCCAACGACGACGGCAAAGCTCACCCCGTAGTGCCTCCCCAAGTTCAAAAACTCCTCAAACGAATTGTTTTGTCCCTGAGCAAGCCCTCCTATCTCCTCGGCGTTGGCTCCACGAGACCCTGAGCCGAGCACCGCGCCCGGCTCACCAAGCTCATGCGGAAGCTCGTCAAGCAGCGCAACTGGGTCGAAGCCAGTGGAGTCCTAAGCGTGTTGTTGGAAGGCAGCCAGAAAGAAAGGTCGCCGGCGAACAACCGGTTCAAGTATTGGGTAATGAGATTAAAGTTTGAAGCTTTCTAGGCTTAATTGGTGTTTGATATTGAATAGTAGTAAATTAGAAGAAACACTCTGATAATTATAAGTTTTATCGAAAAACACTTTGAAAGCGCAATTAGAAAAAAAGAAGAAGAAGAAATCCGTCATTTATCCACTTGTCACGTTCTAATTGAGTTCTTAGGTATTGAATTTGAAGTGTTTTTATCGAGGGCGAAATAGCCCTTCGAATAATTTGATTGGATTTGAACTTGTTATGTAAGTAGGGAAATGTATACTTTTTTTTGTGTCCCTGCTATGTCATGCTCTATTTCTAGAATTTTATTTTCCTATGTCTGTGTTGTGTCTCTTTGCATCTCACGCCTGTAATTCATTTTCATGCAGTTTTTATATCCTTGATATTTGTTATAGGTGTACTTTCTCTGCCACTTTTATTTGGCTAAGTACAGACTTTAACAAACGAAAGACAAAATTGGCTTGTTGGATAGCAGAAATGAGTCTTCAATTTTCCGTATTAGTTTTGAATTACCTTTTCCTTTTTTTTTTTATCTGACTTAGGCTGCAAATATGGCGGCTTTTAAGAGATACGATATGCAAGACATCACCTAATCAATCATGTTTGTTTTTTTCCAGTCTCACGCAATTAAAGGAGTTTGGAAATGGACCACTGTTAATGATGATTGTAGGATTGGCATACCAGCAACTCTGGTATTCCAATCTTCCAAATGAAATGAAATGGAGGGAGTCCGACCAGTTTTACACTGCTACTGGTACTGGCATTCAATGTGGTTCAGAGACCTCTGTAATGAATGATAAAGTATCATATATTGGTGCTGATGGTGGCATACATAGAGATGTATCTATGGGGGTTGATGACATGGAGATAGAAAATTCTCAACCAAACTTTGGGACCCAAAGTTTTTATGCGGACCCTGATGAAGATACAGAAAATGAAAATGATGGTGAAATGCAGTATGCTCCCGTTTTTTATGCCCTTGGTGAGTAAATAGTTTCCTGCATTCTCCCAATTGATGTTATGTGTTAGGCTTTCAATCATTGAATTTCTTTCTTTGTATAAGGAAATATAAACATTGTCCCTTTTCTCATCCATATTCATGATGAAGAGTTTCTGTAAATGCAGTTGCTATAAAGGGGGAACGTATAAGTTTTATAATCTAGTTCCAGCTGATATAAATTAGCACAGTTCAAAATAGTAGATGCGCTGTTTAGTCTGTTAGTCTTGACTACAATTACCAGATACTGGTTGTAACCAGAATGCGTCGATTACTCAACATATTGTGTGTGCGTGTTTGTAGTACACATCTGTTACTTTTACTAACAATTAACAAATCACTGTTTCCATTCACTCTGTCTTTTCTTAGGTGTTTATTAACTTCCTAAGTATATTTTTGTTCTATTCATTATTGTGATATATACCTGATTTATCATTCATTATTTCAGAGGGCTTGGAATCTCTGTTACTTCCCATACGATTGCCAGAATCTACAGATAGGGAGGATTTCATGAATTCACAGACGACAATTTTTAATGACAGTTTTAGGAATGCAGTGAAGTATTTAAGGCTTGCTCTTCACTCCACGCCCCCAGTATTGCAGGCCTTGCTTCCTTTGGTACAGGTAAAAATTTGTTCTAGTGAAGTAATAACATTATCTTAATATGATTTTTATAAAATTGTAGTTGCTAATGTTATGGCAACCCTATTATAATTTTTTGTCACTGGGATGAAGTTGAATGAAATAACAATGACAGCACCGGAAGAGAATGATTGATTGCAAGAAATTGAAAATAAAATCAAGGAGCTTTACAAAAATCAAGGGCAGAAATGTCTCTTTGTCTAGGAATAAGGCACACTTTATTTGGAAAACAGCATTTACAATCTCAAAATAATGTTGTCTTCAAAGAAGAAAAACAGAGTAAGCATACTTATTCGACTCCAGACTGGTTTCCTGGTCTTTGTCGGTTAGTTGGGTAATGGTTTTCTAAGTTAAGACACTGGCAGCAAGCTGGTTCAGAGTTAGGCTGGTCAGACAAGTCGGGTAGGTCTGGTTTTCTGAACAGCGCTAAAAGGTCAATATTGGCTTCACTACAGCAGCTTTGGTAGAAAGTAGATCCTAGGAATTCCTTCTTCAAAAGTCTGACAATTACTAACAGTTGACAGTTGTGTTGTTAAAGTGATGGCTTTTCTGGTGATGCGTGTTTTTTTTTTTTTTTTCCCTCCTGCTATGAGACATTGTATTAATATGTTATCATTTAGGTAATCTCGTTCTTGAGCATTATAACTTATCTTGAATTTTGGTTAGATTAGTTGAAACAAAATATGCTATCTGCGGACAGCAGTTGTAAAACAAATGACCATGTATTAGAGTCTGAACTTTTAGGACTTCTGATTTTTTTTTTTGTGTGCAATTTTTACCATTCAACATTTTGATAGTTCTGCATGTGAAAGTTCCTATATTGGACCATCATTGGTGAAGTTGGATCTCATTTTGTCAATAACTAATGACTTAAGGTAGTGTATGGTTGTTGAACCGAACTTTGAATGGATGGAATCACGATTACAAGAAAGACATCGGTATTTACCATCCTTTTGATGGAGTGACATTGTATAGGAATGCTCATTTGTTGTTTTGGTTTTGGTCAACCAAACCTGGAGTATTCCTATGGAATATGGATGCGTATTCTATTCCAAAGTTCATTCCAATAATTCAAATACTACCTCATTTCTAAATATTTGCTTAACTTTTTGTTGCTTTAGTTCTGTTTGTGAGATATGGATTTATTTTCTCATGCTAGTTATTGCTCTATGGTCTTGTCACCAATCACACAACAGTAAAGATTTAATGTGTACACGTTGGGCAGATTAAGGGCTACACTTTTGGAGCAATTTGATTGTTACAACAGCGCCCTTCTTTCTACCTGTTTTGAGGATGTCTTAGAGAACGATCCAACCTGTTACGATTCATTGGCAAAACTTGTTCAACTGCATCAAAATGGTACGTGATTTTTCTCAGCTTGGTCATATATGCCCATTATTCTTGCAAACAGACAGAACACTAACATTACATGCTGATCATATAATTACCATATATATTTCACATTCTTGTCATTAGAAAAGATATATCATATGAGGAGCGAGCTTATAAATTCATGGGTTCTCTCTAGCTCAGTTAACGGAGCATATCGAGAATTCTTCCATTCTCTTAAGTCAGACAATTCGCTTAAAGAAATAAACCTAAAGAATAAAATCTCTCAAGATGCAAAACCCCTTATCGAGTGTTTAGAAATTTTTGAAGTTACTTTGAGGATTGACATGACTACATCTCCTTAGCTAGAACTTTTTCTTTTTACTAGTAAAAGGTTTTTGTAGAACATAGCCATGTCTTTCTCTTGTTCTAGGCGTGAAATCTCCTCTTGGCATTGAGAAAGTGTAGCTCCCTGCTCCCCGAGAACACTTTCAAGTTTTGATGCCTCGATGCCCAGCTGTTCTTGTTCTCGCATCAACGTATCTAGACGTACCCGGACGGAAGCTAAAGAAGTCTCTGTAGATTGATAATCTCCCGAAGCAGCTTGCTGAGAAGACCGGGCTTGGGTTAGTGACAAGTCTATTGCAGCAAGTTGGTGAGCTCTAACATCTGGACTCAACTTCTTCGAGGAAATAACACGCAAGGAAGAATACTCAGTTGAGGCGGCCATAAGTTCGGCAATCTTGATCTTCAAGGATGAAGAATCAATGTTAAGATTGTCAATTGCAGAAATAAGTTTCGACAAGTCCTCCTTAAGCAACGCAAGGTCCTTCGACGGGCATTTTGAAATCCTCTCCTCAATATGGCTCTTGATATCCATTGCCGCACGAAGATTGATGCGATGAATAAGCTGCTCAGTACCACTAAGGTTTGGCCCTCTCAGAGAGATCTCAGAGCTAGCTGGCAAAGGTATAGAACGCATGACGGGATCTTGCATGCCTCCACCTACACACGGCAAACTTGGGAAACTTGACGAACTTGGGATAAGCTCTGTACCAGGTGGATCCCCAATCTCCTCGCCTGTAGGTAGGTCGCCTCCAAATAGCATCTCCATATAAGAATAAATACCTGTGGTCGCCAAGTCAAAAGAACAAGAAGGCCCAACCTAAAGAAAACAAAGAAAGCTGTTAGAAACAAAAGCTAGAACAATGAAAGCAGAAGAAGTCATAAGAGAGAAGAAGATGCATACGTCTTTCTCAAACAACACACTGCCATCGAGTTGAGGGAGCCTAAACACTTCTTTCTTCTTATGACGAAAATTGACATCGCTATCGCCTGAGCGCCTTCAAGACGTCGCTTGTTTAAAACTTGTTGACCCTGCCGCAAAACAAGTCCATCTTCGTGCGAATCAACTTCATCACCAGCCTCTTCAGATACATCCTAGATGTTGAGAAGACAAGCGTGGGCATTGAGGGACTAAAACCACTGGTCTATCTTGCAAAGTAGCAGCACTCGCGCAATCAAAAGATATCAGTTGTGTAGGAACCACAGAACACCCCTCCTTCAATACATTAAGGTGTGAATGAGAAGAATTGGTACCACTTGCCATCCCTAAATTCTCATAATATACCTTTGACCACCAACTTACGTAAGCACGGGTTACTGGACTACTCTTGAACTCGTCTTTGGCCGGCAGGGTGATAAAAGCATTTGTACACGCACGGGTACAAGACTCCGAATGCATATACACGGCTTGCAAGGAGTCTAATTGGTTTTTTTCCTTCAGCTTGCCTGGCACATGTTGGACAAAACCAAATTGCCTGCTGAAACGGTGAGGACTATACGGCTAAACAATGCATCGATCTTCTTGCCGCAAAGAAACATACCCTGAGCGAAGACTTATAAGGTAAGATAAGTCTGAGAAGCGAAGATGAGAATCGTCCATGATGCCTCGCCGCACCGAGCCAACTCTCGCCAGATAGTCTATCTTCAAGCCTTCGCAGCTTCTAAACAATGCTTGCGCCTGGGAATCATCGAGGCTCTTTGAAGAAAGCACGCCAGGATACTTCGTCATCAAAGGCCCTGACTTGTTTAGAGTTGAAGAAAAAAAACGAGTGCCGAAGTACTCACCCAACCAACCATACACATAGTGGTAGGGAAGAACCGCAGCACGATCTTCAGTGTTTGCCGAGTTCGAAACAACACTCAAGCCGTTATAAATATTGGCCAAAACCGAGATAGCAAGACTGAAAGATTCACCTGCAGCCATCTTGCTAGCAACTTTGAAAACCCCAGGACGAACAAAGTTGACGTCGCCGATTGGAAAAACAAACTTACAAAGCCAACAAGCTAAGAAAGCAGCTAGGTAAGATTCTTCCACATGCTCTGATGCTATGCCAAGGTCCTCAAACGCTCTCAACGCGGCAGGGGAACGGCGCCTAGCTGAACCAATGGCACCAGACGGATATGGGTCTCCCTTTGGCTTAGTGGTTTTGTTGCAACTTCTTCTCTTCGAGGACTTCTTGTACCTTGTGTCCTCCCAATACCAGAAGCGGATCCATGAAGAAATCTTCACGCCTGATTTACCTCGAGCATCTTGGGAAAGCTTGTGATATGCCCAAAATAAACAGCGACAACTCGCAGGCAATCCTCGGTTATTGCAGAGAGAAAGTTCCTCCGCACTAGGAACGACCTCGTCATAAAACTTACCTTGGATTGGCAATCCCCTTATCTTGTGGAGATCCCAAAGTGAAATTGACATCTCTCCTTGAGCTGTATGAAGCGTGTTAGTCGCTGAACACCAATGCTCGAAGAACGCATGAAGGACAGAATGATGGAGATCATAACTAAACAAAGATGCGTACACGGCATGGTAAGGCCCATGCTAGTAAGCACATGTTTAGATCGGCCCAAGATATCTTCAAGCCACTCCCAATAAGACTCAGCAAAAACAGCTTCTCCGATAGTCGACAAGACATCATTCCAAGCCATAGCTCTGCTGCGGATGTGATCTCCGAGAAACTTAAACGAAGCCGGATGATTGTCACAAGCATGGTGCGAAGGGTTCAAGATAAGAATCCTCAGTGTGCACGCCTTCTTCTCCGTATTTGATCGAACAAAGTCTGCCACCTTCCAAGATACTTCAGAAGATCACGACTTAATATGCATAGAGTTGTCTTTTGTAGGAAGAGCAAGCGCCTTAAGGCCAGTCAGTGGGGCGTAAATCTTCAGCGTTGTTCCCCTATCTTGCGAATCATTTTCCTTCGCGAGAATGGTGATGGTGTTGCTCTTAAAACATTTGAAAAATACCATGACCGCAACAAAGCAAAATCAGCCACAAAATTTGGCACTACACAACATAAATTCGCTGCAGTCTTTTGCACAACCCCACACGGTATAAGTGACGACTGTAACAAGCTCCAAGCAGCGGTAAGAGGCACGACAACGTCACCACCGAGGAAACTTATGATCAAAAGGCACTACACAGCATAAACTCGCTGTAGTCTTTTGCATAACCCCACACGGTAAAAGTGACGCACTGCAACAAGCTCCAAGCAGCGGCAAGAGGCACGGCAACGTCACTATCAAGGGAAAACTGTGACCAAAAGGCATTACACAGCAAAATCCCTTTGCAATCTTTGCACAACACCACTCTTTCTACACCACCAATTTATGCGCTCCAACTATTATGACCTCAGATAATCAGCTGAGGAAGATGACAAGACGGTGCAAGACAACGCAGCTGTTGTCCCATGAGTTCCAAGCCACCTTCCGCATGTGCCATCAATGCAAGTTTTGTAGCAATTTGAGGCCCGTGGAGACCGAGTCAAGCAAAGCAGACTTTCAATGCGTTCCTAGGTTCTTCGTCGGTTTGGCAATCTCAGCCTTGCAGATCACCATATAAAAGAAAAAAAAATGATGGAATCTTGATGGACAGCACCATGCAAAAAAAAAAATAATAAAATAAAATAAAAGGGAATGATGGTGGACGGCACCATGTAAAAAAAATAATAAAAAAAATTATCAAGTCTTTCATGGTGGACGGCATCAAGTGAAAAAAAAAAAAATATATATATATATATATATATATATAATTATAAAGGCTTCAGGCACCATGTGAAGGTAAAGAATAAAAAAAGAGGTAGCAATGATGATGTTGGGAAGCATCTTTCAAAGACAGCACCATGCAAAAAAATAAAATAAAAATAAAAAAAAAGGGAATGATGGTGGACGGCACCATGTAAAAAAAAAAATAAAAAAATTATCAAGTCTTTCATGGTTGACAGCACTATATAAAAAAAATAATAAAAAAAATTATCAAGTCTTTCATGGTGGACGGCACCATGTAAAAAAAATAATAAAAAAAATTATCAAGTCTTTCATGGTGGACGGCACCATGTAAAAAAAAAAAAATATATATATATATATATATATATAATTATAAAGGCTTCAGGCACCATGTGAAGGTAAAGAATAAAAAAAAGAGGTAGCAATGATGATGTTGGGAAGCATCTTTCAAAGACAGCACCATGCGAAAAAAAAAATAATAAAATAAAATAAAAGGGAATGATGGTGGACGGCACCATGTAAAAAAAATAATAAAAAAATTATCAAGTCTTTCATGGTGGACTGCATCAAGTGAAAAAAAAAATATATATATATATATATATATAATTATAAAGGCTTCAGGCACCATGTGAAGGTAAAGAATAAAAAAAAGAAGTAGCAATGATGATGTTGGGAAGCATCTTTCAAAGACAGCACCAGCTGCCAATTGTTTAAATTAGCAAATTGGAAGATGCAAGGCAGTGAGCAAATGCGGTGGCCATGCAGTGCCCTATATGCGTGTGTGTGTGTGTACAAGCTGTGGAATTAAAAGTAAAGAAAGTAATGAATGCCATCATTCATGTGTGGACATATTTGTTATATACAAGTTGTAATTTTGTAGAGTTTGAAACTCACACGGTGCCAGGCGCACCGAGAGCAAGTATCATTGAAAAAAAAAAAAAAAAAAAAAAAAGAAGGGCGACATAATTGTTGCAAAGAAGAAAATAAGGGAAGAATGGTGCCCACTTGCAAAAGTGTGTTTAAAAAAAAAAAAAAAAAAAGAGAGAAATAACACATCTTGGTAATATATATACACTGAATAAAATAAAGCATGTCCATTGATATCTGAGAAATTACAAGTGCGTACAAAAAAAAAAAAAAAAAAAAAAGAGATGGAGCTTTCACAAAGGTTGTTCACGTGAAGCCCCACTACTTGGCAAAACTCCAGGAGCGGGAGGCATCGAGGATAGATTATTCGAGGCCTCAATACTTAGTGGAACGCTAGATGACACAGGAAAAAGGTGCATCTGGAAGAAAGCCGCGAGCCTTTGACGGTCACTTTGAATTCGATCCTTCAGATTCTTGCAGCTGATCAAGCTTCATCTTCATGCTCGTCGAATAATTATTTGCAAGCACGTGCAAACCTCTATTCTCGTACTTAAGCTGTTTGATTTCTTGTTTAAGATTTTCCACCTCCGCCATCAATGATTCAACTTGACGGGATCGAGCAAGTAGGCGTTGGCTCATGTTGGACACGGAGCCTGCACACTGAACACTGAGAGCTAGGGACTCTTGAACGGCTAACTCATCGGATCGTCCTGAAAGCAGCCTACTATCTCTAGAGTGACGAGGTTCCTAGCTACTATTGTAGCTGTTGTTGCATCCTTCATCACGGAGTCTTCACCTGTAAGAGGGCCACTAGAAGATAAGAAGACGGGCGTCATACATTACCCTGACACGGCGCACCCGTATCACTGCTGAGACTCAAATCTAAGCAAATGTTAGATGGGTTAGCCATAAAGGATAAAGGTCGACATATATAGGGATTTCCTTGCCATAAAAGATATTGGGCATTTTTTTGCAGGTCTGCCTTGCCATAAAAGATGAAGGTCGACATATATAAAGATTTCCCAATAGCAAGTGGTGGTACTGTTCCTTTACCATTGTCGACAATTGTTGGGTAATTGAAACAGTAAGATTCACGCGTTCTCAACTTTGTCAGAAATCTTTGACAAAGTTGCTTGTAATGTCTGCAAAGTTGAGGTTACATGTGAAAGGTACTGACAAGTTTTGATCCAGCAAATCCGGTTTTTTTTTGAAATTCAAAGAGTGATGACTCTTTGATCCTTGAATAAGCGGCCCAGCTTTTGAGGTTGGCGAAAGTGTGGTAGTTGGGATAATGACCTCCACGAGTTTTCAACTTTGTCAGAGATCTTTGACATAATTGCACGTGTTATCTGAAAAGCCTGAGATTGTGTCTGAAGAGCGTTGCCGAACTTTACGCAGGAAAATCCGGCTTTTAAGATTTGAAGAGTGGTGTCTCTTCAATTTTTTGAATCGGTGGTTGTGTCGCCTCTCCTTTTATAGAAGTATTGATCACCTCCAACATGCACACTTTGAAGATTGCTCACTCGTGAACATCGTCTCCGGTGTATTTTGTTTTAACGGCCCTTTGAGATTTTACTTCATCCAACCCTTCTCTTTTAACACCTTTGAAAATGGCTAACCCATCTAACATTTGCTTAGATTTGAGTCTCAGCAGTGATACGGGTGCGCCGCGTAAGGGTAATGTATGGCGCCCGTCTTTCTTATCTTCTAGTGGCTCTCTTACAGGTGAAGACTTCGTTTTGATGGATGCAACAACAGCTACAATAGTAGCTAGGAACCTCCTCACTCCTAGAGATAGTAGGCTGCTTTCAGGACGGTCCGATGAGTTAGCCGTTCAAGAGTCCCTAGCTCTCAGTGTTCAGTGTGCGGGCTCTGTGTCCAACATGGGCCAACGCCTACTTGCTCGATCCCGTCAAGTTGAATCATTGATGGCGGAGGTGGAAAATCTTAAACAAGAGATCAAACAGCTTAAGTAAGAGAATAGAGGTTTGCACGTGCTTACAAATAATTATTCGACGAGCATGAAAATGAAGCTTTATCAGCTGCAAGAATCTGAAGGTCGAATTCAAAGTGACCGTCAAAGGCTCGCGGCTTTCTTCCAGAGTCACCTTTTTCCTGCGTTATCTAGCGTTCCACTAAGTATTGAGGCCTCGAATAATCTATCTTCGATGCCTCCCGCTCCTGGAGTTTTGCCAAATAGTGGGGCTTCACGTGAACAACATTTGTGAAAGCTCCATCTCTTTTTTTTTTTTTTTTTTTTTTTTTTGTACGCACTTGTAATTTCTCGGAGATCAATGAACATGCTTTATTTTATTCAGTGTATATATATCACCAAGATGTGTTATTTCCCTCTTTATTTTTTTTTTTTTAAACACACTTTTACAAGTGGGCACCATCTTTTCCTTATTTTCTTCTTTGCAACAATTATGTCGCCCTCCTTTTTTTTTTTAATCATACTTGCTCTCGGTGCGCCTGGCACCATGTGAGTTTCAAACTCTACAAAATTACAACTTGTATATAACAAATATGTCCACACATGAATGATGGTCTTCATTACTTTCTTTACTTTTAATTCCACAACTTGTACACACACACACATATAGGGCACTGCATGGCCACTGCATTTGCTCACTGCCTTACATCTTCCAATTTGCTAATTTAAACAATTGGCAGTTGGTGCTGTCTTTGAAAGATGCTTCTCAACATCATCATTGCTACTTCTTTTTTTTATTTTTTACCTTCACATAGTGCCTGAAGCCTTTATAATTATATATATATATATTTTTTTTTCACCTGATGCCGTCCACCATCATTCCCTTTTATTTTATTTTATTATTTTTTTTCTTGCATGGTGCTTGTCTTTGAAAGATGCTTCCCAACATCATCATTGCTACCTCTTTTTTTATTCTTTCCCTTCACATGATGCCTGAAGCCTTTATAATTATATATATATATATATATTTTTTTTTTTCACTTGATGTCGTTCACCATGAAAGACTTGATAATTTTTTTTATTATTTTTTTTACATGGTGCCGTCCACCATCATTCCTTTTTATTTTATTTTATTATTTTTTTTTTGCATGGTGTTGTCCACCAAGATTCCATCATTTTTTTTTCTTTTATATGGTGATCTGCAAGGCTGAGGCTGCTAAACCGACGAAGAACTCAAGAACGCATCGAAAGTCTGCTTTGCTTTACTCGGTCTCCACGGGCCTCAAATTGCTACAAAACTTCTATTGATGGCACATGCGGAAGGTGGCTTGGAACTCATGAGACAACAGCTGCGTTGTCTTGCACCGTCTTGTCATCTTCCTTAGCTGATTATCTGAGGTCATAATGGTTGGAGCGCATAAATTGGTGGTGTAGAAAGAGTGGTGTTGTGCAAAGATTGCAAAGGGATTTTGCTGTGTAATGCCTTTTGGTCACAGTTTTCCCTTGGTAGTGACGTTGCCGTGCCTCTTGCCGCTGCTTGGAGCTTGTTGCAGTGCATCACTTTTACCGTGTGGGGTTATGCAAAAGACTGCAGCGAGTTTATGCTGTGTAGTGCCTTTTGATCATAATTTTCCTCGGTGGTGACGTTGTCGTGCCTCTTACCGCTGCTTGGAGCTTGTTGCAGTCGTCACTTTTACCGTGTGGGGTTGTGCAAAAGACTGCAGCGAGTTTATGCTGTGTAGTGCCAAGTTTTGTGGCTAATTTTGCTTTGTTGCGGTCATGATATTTTTCAAATGTTTTAAGAGCAACACCATCACCATTCTCGCGAAGGAAAGTGATTCGCAAGATAGGGGAACAACGCTGAAGATTTACGCCTCACTGACTGGCCTTAAGCGCTTGCTCTTCCTACAAAAGACAACTCCATGCATATTAAGTCGTGGTCTTCTGAAGTATCTTGGAAGGTGGCAGACTTTGTTCGATCAAATACGGAGAAGAAGGCGTGCACACTGAGGATTCTTATCTTGAACCCTTCGCACCATGCTTGTGACAATCATCCGGCTTCGTTTAAGCTTCTCGAAAATCACATCCGCAGCAGAGCTATGGCTTGGAATGATGTCTTGTCGACTACCGGAGAAGTTGTTTTTGCTGAGTCTTATTGGGAGTGGCTTGAAGATGTCTTGGGCCGATCTAAACATGTGCTTACTAGCATGGGCCTTTACCATGCCGTGTACGCATCTTTGTTTAGTTATGATCTCCATTATTCTGTCCTTCATGCGTTCTTCGAGCATTGATGTTCAGCGACTAACACGCTTCATACAGCTCAAGGAGAGATGTCAATTTCACTTTGGGATCTCCACAAGATAAGGGGATTGCCAATCCAAGGTAAGTTTTATGACGAGGTCGTTCCTAGTGTGGAGGAACTTTCTCTCTGCAATAACCGAGGATTGCCTGCGAGTTGTCGCTGTTTATTTTGGGCATATCACAAGCTTTCCCAAGATGTTCGAGGTAAATCAGGCGTGAAGATTTCTTCATGGATCCGCTTTTGGTATTGGGAGGACACAAGGTGCAAGAAGTCCTCGAAGAGAAGAAGTTGCAACAAAACCACTAAGCCAAAGGGAGACCCATATCTGTCTGGTGCCATTGGTTCAGCTAGGCGTCGTTCCCCTGCCGAGTTGAGAGCGTTTGAGAACCTTGGCATAGCATCAGAGCATGTGGAAGAATCTTACCTAGCTGCTTTCTTAGCTTGTTGGCTTTGTAAGTTTGTTTTTCCAATCGGCGACGTCAACTTTGTTCGTCCTGGGGTTTTCAAAGTTGCTAGCAAGATGGCTGCAGGTGAATCTTTTAGTCTTGCTATCCCGGTTTTGGCCAATATTTATAACGGCTTGAGTGTTGTTTCGAACTCGGCAAACACTGAAAATCGTGTTGCGGTTCTTCCCTACTACTATGTGTATGGTTAGTTGGGTGAGTACTTCGGCACTCATTTTTTTTCTTCAACTCTAAACAAGTCAGGGCCTTTGATGACGAAGTATTCTGGCGTGCTTTCTTCGAAGAGCCTCGATGATTCCCAGGCGCAAGCACTGTTTAGAAGCTACGAAGGCTTGAAGATGGACTATCTGGCGAGAGTTGGCTCGGTGCGGCGAGGCATCATGGACGATTCGCATCTTCGCTTCTTAGACTTATCTTACCTTATAAGTCTTCGCTCAGGGTATGTTTCTTTGCGACAAGAAGATCGATGCATTGTTCAGCCGTATAGTCCTCACCGTTTCAGCAGGCAATTTGGTTTTGTCCAACATGTGCCAGGCAAGCTGAAGGAAAAAAACCAATTAGACTCCTTGCAAGCCGTGTATATGCATTCGGAGTCTTGTACCCGTGCGTGTACAAATGCTTCTATCACCCTGCCGGCCAAAGACGAGTTCAAGAGTAGTCCAGTAACCCGTGCTTACGTAAGTTGGTGGTCAAAGGTATATTATGAGAATTTGGGGATGGCAAGTGGTACCAATTCTTCTCATTCACACCTTAATGTATTGAAGGAGGGGTGTTCTGTGGTTCCTACACAGCTGATATCTTTGAAATTGCGCGAGTGCTGCTACTTTGCAAGATAGACCAGTGGTTTTAGTCCCTCAATGCCCACGCTTGTCTTCTCAACATCTGGATGTATCTGAAGAGGCTGGTGATGAAGTTGATTCGCACGAAGATGGACTTGTTTTGCGGCAGGGTCAACAAGTTTTAAACAAGGGACGTCTTGAAGGCGCTCAGGCCGATAGCGATGTCAATTTTCGTCATAAGAAGAAAGAAGTGTTTAGGCTCCCTCAACTCGATGGCAGTGTGTTGTTTGAGAAAGACGTATGCATCTTCTTCTCTCTTATGACTTCTTCTGCTTTCATTGTTCTAGCTTTTGTTTCTAACAGCTTTCTTTGTTTTCTTTAGGTTGGGCCTTCTTGTTCTTTTGACTTGGCGACCACAGGTATTTATTCTTATACGGAGATGCTATTTGGAGGCGACCTACCTACAGGCGAGGAGATTGGGGATCCACCTGGTACAGAGCTTATCCCAAGATCGTCAAGTTTCCCAAGTTTGCCGTGCGTAGGTGGAGGCATGCAAGATTCTGTCATGCGTTCTATACCTTTGCCAGCTAGCTCTGAGATCTCTCTGAGAGGGCCAAACCTTAGTGGTACTGAGCAGCTTATTCATCGCATCAATCTTCGTGCGGCAATGGATATCAAGAGCCATATTGAGGGGAGGATTTCAAAATGCCCGTCGAAGGACCTTGCGTTGCTTAAGGAGGACTTGTCGAAACTTATTTCTGCAATTGACAATCTTAACATTGATTCTTCATCCTTGAAGATCAAGATTGCCGAACTTATGGCCGCCTCAACTGAGTATTCTTCCTTACGTGTTATTTCCTCGAAGAAGTTGAGTCCAGATGTTAGAGCTCACCAACTTGCTGCAATAGACTTGTCACTAACCCAAGCCCGGTCTTCTCAGCAAGCTGCTTCAGGAGATTATCAATCTACAGAGACTTCTTTAGCTTCCGTCCGGGTACGTCTAGATACGTTGATGCGAGAACAAGAACAGCTGGGCATCGAGGCATCAAAACTTGAAAGTGTTCTCGGGGAGCAGGGAGCTACACTTTCTCAATGCCAAAAGGAGATTTCACGCCTAGAACAAGAGAAAGACATGGCTATGTTCTACAAAAACCTTTTACTAGTAAAAAGAAAAAGTTCTAGCTAAGGAGATGTAGTCATGTTAATCCTCAAAGTAACTTCAAAAATTTCTAAACACCCGATAAGGGGTTTTGCATCTTGAGAGATTTTATTCTTTAGGTTTATTTCTTTAAGCGAATTGTCTGACTTAAGAGAATGGAAGAATTCTCGATATGCTCCGTTAACTGAGCTAGAGAGAACCCATGAATTTATAAGCTCGCTCCTTATATGATATATCTTTTCTAATGACAAGAATGTGAAATATATATGGTAATTATATGATCAGCATGTAATGTTAGTGTTCTGTCTGTTTGCAAGAATAATGGGCATATATGACCAAGCTGAGAAAAATCACGTACCATTTTGATGCAGTTGAACAAGTTTTGCCAATGAATCGTAACAGGTTGGATCGTTCTCTAAGACATCCTCAAAACAGGTAGAAAGAAGGGCGCTGTTGTAACAATCAAATTGCTCCAAAAGTGTAGCCCTTAATCTGCCCAACGTGTACACATTAAATCTTTACTGTTGTGTGATTGGTGACAAGACCATAGAGCAATAACTAGCATGAGAAAATAAATCCATATCTCACAAACAGAACTAAAGCAACAAAAAGTTAAGCAAATATTTAGAAATGAGGTAGTATTTGAATTATTGGAATGAACCTTGGAATAGAATACGCATCCATATTCCATAGGAATACTCCAGGTTTGGTTGACCAAAACCAAAACAACAAATGAGCATTCCTATACAATGTCACTCCATCAAAAGGATGGTAAATACCGATGTCTTTCTTGTAATCGTGATTCCATCCATTCAAAGTTCGGTTCAACAACCATACACTACCTTAAGTCATTAGTTATTGACAAAATGAGATCCAACTTCACCAATGATGGTCCAATATAGGAACTTTCACATGCAGAACTATCAAAATGTTGAATGGTAAAAATTGCACACAAAAAAAAAAATCAGAAGTCCTGAAAGTTCAGACTCTAATACATGGTCATTTGTTTTACAACTGCTGTCCGCAGACAGCATATTTTGTTTCAACTAATCTAACCAAAATTCAAGATAAGTTATAATGCTCAAGAACGAGATTACCTAAATGATAACATATTAATACAATGTCTCATAGCAGGAGGGAAAAAAAAAAAAAAACACGCATCACCAGAAAAGCCATCACTTAAACAACACAACTGTCAACTGTTAGTAATTGTCAGACTTTTGAAGAAGGAATTCCTAGGATCTACTTTCTACCAAAGCTGCTGTAGTGAAGCCAATATTGACCTTTTAGCGCTGTTCAGAAAACCAGACCTACCCGACTTGTCTGACCAGCCTAACTCTGAACCAGCTTGCCGCCAGTGTCTTAACTTAGAAAACCATTACCCAACTAACCGACAAAGACCAGGAAACGAGTCTGCAGTCGAATAAGTATGCTTACTCTGTTTTTCTTCTTTGAAGACAACATTATTTTGAGATTGTAAATGCTGTTTTCCAAATAAAGTGTGCCTTATTCCTAGACAAAGAGACATTTCTGCCCTTGATTTTTGTAAAGCTCCTTGATTTTATTTTCAATTTCTTGCAATCAATCATTCTCTTCCGGTGCTGTCATTGTTATTTCATTCAACTTCATCCCAGTGACAAAAAATTATAATAGGGTTGCCATAACATTAGCACCTACAATTTTATAAAAATCATATTAAGATAATGTTATTACTTCACTAGAACAAATTTTTACCTGTACCAAAGGAAGCAAGGCCTGCAATACTGGGGGCGTGGAGTGAAGAGCAAGCCTTAAATACTTCACTGCATTCCTAAAACTGTCATTAAAAATTGTCGTCTGTGAATTCATGAAATCCTCCCTATCTGTAGATTCTGGCAATCGTATGGGAAGTAACAGAGATTCCAAGCCCTCTGAAATAATGAATGATAAATCAGGTATATATCACAATAATGAATAGAACAAAAATATACTTAGGAAGTTAATAAACACCTAAGAAAAGACAGAGTGAATGGAAACAGTGATTTGTTAATTGTTAGTAAAAGTAACAGATGTGTACTACAAACACGCACACACAATATGTTGTTAATTTTCTTCATCAGTCAAGCCTTCTTGTATAGCCATCCTTAGTGAGGGGATTTGACTTTCGAGCGGTAGAACAGCTTCTACGCCATATACGAGAGAATAAGGTGTAGCTTGGGTAGAAGTCCTATGTGTAGTCCTATATGCCCAAAGTGCTTCACTTATTCTTTCATGTCAGTCTCTCTTTGTTCGGCTGATTACCTTTTTCAGGAGGTTGCACAGCGTCTTGTTGAATGCTTCCGCGAGGCCGTTGGCCGGAGCATGATACATGGAAGACTTGTGCTGCTTGAACTTGTATTTGTCGCAAAGCTCGTCCACGAGTCGATTGGAGAACTGCTTTCCGTTGTCAGTGATAATGTAGCAAGGCACCCCATATCGGTGGATGATATGCTCCTTGATGAAACGAACAACAGTTTCCTTTTTTACTTCCCTTAAAGGTATGGCTTCAGCCCACTTGGAGAAGTAATCTGTTGCAGCTAGGATGTAAGCTTCCCCTGCAGATGACTTTGGCGTAATTGGTCCTACAACGTCCAATCCTCATGCGTCGAACGGCCATGAAGCAACTGTAGGGTGTAATGGTTCAGGCGGTTGATGTATGAAGTTGGCGTGGAATTGGCAGGCTTGGCACCTTTTGGCATGTTCCAGGCAGTCCTTCACCATGCTCGGCCAGTAGTAACCCATTCTTTTAAGCCGGAAATGTAGCTTTGGTCCAGACTGATGTGCCCCACACACACCTGAATGTGCTTCTTCCATGGCTTGATTAACTTCTTCCTCACCTAGGCATCTCAGGAGCACTCCTTCAAAAGAGCGTCGGTAAAGTGTTCCTTTGTAGTAAAGGAAGCGAGGTGCTCGTCGACGTATTTCGGAACGGTGTCTAAGATCATCTGGAAGCTTTCCGTGCTCTAAGTAGTCGATCAGCGGCTGTCTCCACTCTTCAGCATCGACTGGAAGTACTGAGATGACATTTGTATCATCTAGTGACATTTCATTAACAAGCGGAATCACCCATCTTTGGCAAACTGGCACGTCTGTAACTTCATCTTTTCCTAGTGTCATACTCGAGGCTAGATTGGCGAGAGCGTCTGCCATTTGATTTTCCTTTCTTGGCACATGTTCTAGGGTCACAGCTTCGAACTTTTGTAGCAGTTGGGTCGCTAGCCGAAAGTATGGGACGGGATCATCTTTCCTCACCTCATATTCAGTTAAGAGTTGATTGATTATGAGCTTGGAATCGCCATATACCTCAAGAGCTGTGATTTCCATGTTGATCGCCATTTGGAGCCCGATGATCAATGCTTGGTACTCAGCAACATTGTTGGAGCATAGCTCATTCAGTTGGAAGGAGTAAGGTAGTATTTGCCTTTGTGGCGACATGAATACTACTCCTGCCCCCGCTCCGTCTGCTCGTGCGGATCCATCGAAGAACATCGTCCATGTCGGGAAAATATCGATGTAGAACACCTCTTCGTCAGGCAAGTCGTCTGAGATTTTCCAATCAGCCGGGATTGGATGATCGGCAAGGAAGTCTGCTAGTGCTTGTCCCTTGACGGCTTTAGCTGGGACGTAGATGATCTCATATTGATTAAGAAGCAAATCCCATTTAGCGAGTCGCCCTGTCAAGACTGGCTTAGACATAACGTATTTGACAGGGTCGGCTTTAGCAACCAAGTGGATGGTGTAAGCATGCATGTAATGTCTGAGTTTCTGAATGGCAAACACCAAAGCGAGGCACATTTTTTCTATTGGGGAATAGTTCAACTCAGCGCTGGTGAGAGTTCGACTGAGGTAGTAAAGTGCTCATTCTTTTTGGGATTCATTCTCTTGCGCCAAGAGTGCTCCGATTGAACTTTCCTGAGCAGCAATATACAATATGAGCGGTTTCCCGGGCACAGGTGCGCCCAGGACAGGTGGACTTGACAAATAATTTTTTATGCTTTCGAAAGCATTATGGCATGCTTTGTCCCATACGAATGGAACATCTTTCTTCATAAGGCGACTAAACAGTTGACAACGCCCTGCGAGGTTGGAGATGAAGCGTCTGATGAAAGCTAGCCGTCCTTGTAGACTTTTCAGCTCGTGCAGGTTTCTTGGCTCGGGCATGCTTTGAATGGCCTTGATCTTTGATTGGTCTACTTCAATACCACGGTGCTTGACGATGAAGCCGAGGAATTTTCCAGAGGTGACGCCAAACGCACACTTTAACGGATTCATCTTGAGGTTGTATTTTCGCAGCCTTTCGAACACTATTCGCAGATCCTTCAAGTGGTCTGATCTTTTCTTCGTCTTAACCACCACATTATCTACGTAATATTCTACGTTCTTGTGTAGCATGTCATTGAAGATTTTCTGCATTGCGCGTTGATACGTAGCTCCAGCGTTCTTTAGACCAAAGGGCATCACCTTGTAGCAATAGATACCTTTTGGAGTACGAAAGGTTGTTAGTTCCTCGTCTTCGAGGGCCATGCGAATTTGATTGTACCCAGAAGAGCCATCCATGAATGATAATGCCTCATGGCCAGTGGTTGCATCCACCATGATTTCAATGATTGGCAAGGGGAAGTCGTCCTTTGGGCAAGCATCGTTGAGGTCCCGGAAGTCTACGCAAACACGTATTTGTCCTGATTTCTTAAGGACAATGACGATGTTAGAGATCCACTTGGGATATTGCACTTCTCGAATAAAGCCTGCTTCGATTAGCTTGTCGATCTCGACCTCGATTTGTGGGATAAGCTCAGATCGATAGCGTCTTTGAGTTTGCTTTATCGGTCGTGTTCCAGGCTTGACCGCAAGATGATGAATAGCGACGATAGGGTCCAGGCCGGGCATTTCTTTGTAGGTCCAGGCAAAGACGTTTTTGTACTCTAACAACAGCTGATAATACTCCTCTATCTCATCTGTACTTAATAATGCACTTACGAAGATAGGCTTTGGTTCCTTGCTTATACCTAAGTTGAGTTCCTTGAGATCATCGACTGTGGCTTGCCCCCCATCTTCGAACTGTGGTGGTGCAGCAGTGACATCTTCCTCGGGGATTTCGTCTTCTTTACCTTCTTGAACCGTGATATGGAAAACATCTTGGACCTCCTCTTCAGTGCTGTCTTCTCGAGCTTGTTGGCATAAGGATTGTCTGGTGTGGATGATAGTACGCCTTCTTACTTTCAGTGGTCCCTTTGTGTCGACCTCTAGGATTGCTTGGCGCTTCATCCTTGAAGGAATCAAGCTTCGAACGTCGTCTTTTTCTCCTAACCCATCGAGCTTTTCTTCCTTTGGTGTTGTCTTCCTCTTTCCAAAAGGCTTCTCATTATCTTCAAATCTTTCTGAAGCTGATCGTCGCAGAGGAGAGATAACTGTGTTGCTTTGTTTCTTAAGCTTTAACAACCTTTCAAAAACAGAGCTTTGGGATGTTGGCGCGTTAAGCCTCTTGAAGACAGAGGTTCGGTCTTGACCACCAATGCAATTAAGCACTGAAGTTCTGGAGCTTGAATGGCTCATCCTATCGAAGACCGACGTCCGAGGGTAGGGTTTAGGCTCTTCTTGGTCTTGTTCAATGCTCACGCTGATGTGTTGAGCGCTAGTGTTTTTCGCTTTGTTTGAAATCATCACAGGTGCATTTGGTGTGAAACCAAGTCCGGCTTTGTTGTTGTCAACTCCGTAACCATGCTCCTTCAACTTCTTATGAGTTTTGGTGAGGTTACGTTCTTCGTCATTGACAGTGTTTGAAACCTTCTTTCCAGCCACCGTAGAAGAAGCGAAGTCGTACCCAGCCTTTGACATGAGTTTGTAGGCGTTAGGGTCGAAACCTTCCTC